GTGTAAAGGTTAAATAGACAGATCATTAAAATGATCTCGCTAGTCCTTCTTACTTTTCCCAATATGTCTACTGGAACTTTAAAGCCACATATGGTCAGTGTCACAGCTCTGCAGGAGGTGCTGCCAGGTGTCCCCTCCAGGCTCGGGCACCTGTGCCCTGTCTCTGGCCTGACCACCTGGCTGGGAGTGGTTCTTGGGAGATCTGTTGATTGACTGATCATGAGTCCTTAAAGAGAACCCCTTGCCCTTTCCCAAGTAAAGGGGAACTGCAGAGAAGTTCCCCAGGACACGGCAGGGCCTGGGTCTTCCTGGAACCTCTGGAGTCACCTTCCTCCTCCCAGGGTTTCCTGGTTTCCTGACCTTGACCCAGGAGGCCCCTGACCTCAGAGCACCCTGGGAAGCCCGGTCTGCTCTTCCCCCTTCCCTGAAGATACAGAGTTCTGAGTTGCAGGGACTTTAGGGACCAGAAAGTTCTAGAGAACAGAGGGACCCAACCCTGGCAGAGCTCAGGAATGGGGACAGGTAAGGGATTAGGGGAGCAGGATTGGGGGCAGGGAATGAGAGGAGGGAGGCATGAGGGCAGAAGCCCCTAGCCTGCAGGAGAGAGGGACAGAGGAGAAGGAGCCAGAACTGGAGGGGACAGCAGAAGGGAGGGGCCGCCAGGAAAAAGAGGAGCTGGGCTAGGAATCTGGGGAGGGAGACAGCGGAGGGGCTGGAGCCTCAGAGGATGAAGCAGGGCCTCACCAGGCCAGCACTGTGGCCTCTGGATCACTGCCCTCTGTGACCTACAGCCCCGGCATCGTGTCCTGCAGACCTGGCCCTGACCCGGTGTGTCTCTGCTGCTCCTGGCTGCTGTGGTCTTAGACCTGGCCATGACGCCTGTGGCCTTTAAGTTCCCTCAGAAGAGGTCTCAGCTACTCGGTGGCCTGGAAGATGTGGACGTCGACAGAGACGATGTGCAGCAGGCGGCAGAGTTCGCCGTCCAAGAGTACAACAATGCAAACAGCGACCTGCACTTCAGCCGCTTGGTGCGGGTGGTGCATGCCAGTGAGCAGGTGCGTGATCACTGGGGCTGAGGAAGGCTGCCCAGGAGGTGCTCTATTCCTGAAAACCCTGCTGCTGTCTTCCCTCTGTGCCCTGCTTTCTGTCCGCATCCTGAGTACACTGTGTGCTCTGCGGCCCTTGCCTGGTCAAGGGAGCCTCCACAGGAAGGACATCGCCGAACCTCTCACCTCAGCCCCGTCCCTGGGATTTGTCTGTCCTTGTGTCCTTTATTAGACATGTCCCTGAATTGCCCCAGATGAAGCCTGGCCTGGACCCTGGTGGGCTCTGTGAGTGAAACATGTCCTTAGACCTGGTTCCAACCTCAGCTAGCCGAGGCACCATGCAGCAGGCCAGTGTCAGGGTCCCCCGGCTTACCACTGACCACCACTTTCTGAGCTGCGTTCCATGTAACCTGTGTACTAAGTGATCACACAGCAGGGACAGAGGCCCTATGCCTGTTCCCTCCTCTCCCAGCAGCCACTCCCCTGTCCTTTAGCTCCTGGCTCCGACAGAAACCTCAGAGCTGCAGAGCAAGTGCAGCAGGGGCAGAGGGCGTCCTGGGCCCTGCACCTGTCCTTCCTGTGGTCATCCTTGGCCACATGGGCCCTACTCCTGGCTCTCCATGGCATGAGGCGCTGTGTGTGGATGTGATGCTTCTCCTGGTCCAGTGGGATGCACCCTACAGTATACACTGCTTGCCTATGAGGACCTTCTCTCCACACCAAGGACCAGGCTGACCTCAGGAAGCCACTCACACTCAGATGCCCACAGAGCATCACCCAGTGAGACCGATGTCCACTGAGGACACTCCTATGTCCTGCAGCCTGTCTTGGCCTGCCAGGGTCAGGGTCAGACTGGCGGGTACACAGTATGTGTAGGAGGGGGGTTCCTGGCAAGGACGGATGGGGATGCAAGGGTGTCCCTAAGATGACACAAGCTGTGACTTAGCACCTGTCTCTCCTTGTGGCCATTCTATATGCCATGGCATAGTGAATCTCTAAGAACCCCAAGGCAGTGCAGGGCATCTCTCATGTAAACTTGAACCTTCCCTGTGGGCATTGGGGTGCCCCCTACTGCTGAACCAGGGAAGAGGAATCAGATGAGTAGGGGACCAGGTCTCAGCTGTGTTGAGTCCTCAGGTCACAGCTCTCCTGAAACAGTGTCCAGTGCATCCTGTATGGGTACAGAGCCTGCTGGGGCTGGACTTGCGCTGCATCCTGGACAGGAAGTGTTCAGAAAACATCCCGGCTTCTCCCCAAATAGAACACCCACCCCAGGGTCTGGATCAGAGTATTCAAATGGGACTCCCACCTGCTTGGGCTCTTACTCTGGTGCAGGAGACTCCTCTTTGTACCTCCTTGGAAGGAAGGAAGTTGAACACAGGGCTCGGGACAGTCCTGCGGGAAGATCTGGTGCAGTGAGGGCCGGGGACAGGATCGGTCTGAGCCCTGCCAAGCACAGTGAACACAACGCAGCAAGTAACTGCGGCAGGTGAGGTTGACACAGCGCTGAGGGAGTCCTGCTCTTTCCACCCTAGGTCGTGGCTGGCCTTAACTACTACTTGGATGTGGAGATCGCCAGAACCACATGTGTCAAGTCCCAGTCCGAACAGGCTGACTGTGCCTTCAGTGAGAACCCGGTATGAGCTTGAAGTGTGCAGGGGCAACACAGGCAGCAGGGAAGTGTGTGTGTGTGTGTGTGTGTGTGTATCAGATGACCTGTACATGAGTGTGGGACATGTGGAAAGCTGCATGTGTGCACACGTGTATGGCATAGGGGAGATGAATGTGTGTGTGTGTGTGTGTGTGTGTGTAGTGCGGTGGTCCAGGTGTAGATACCCTAGGAAATGGGGTGCATGTGAGTGTATGTACAGGCACATCTGTGCATATGTGGCACAGTAGGGGATGTGCACAGGGTGGATGTGGGGGCTGAGTGAGACCCTGGGAAGTGGAATGCTGGGAGGCCACCCCTGCCTTTGGGGTGGGTGCTCCTGCTGGGCTGGAGGGGGCAGCAATAGGACTGGTGAGGAGGGAGAGAGCTCTGCTGAGTTCCAGCTTCATCCCTTCCCAGAGCCCCACTGAGCAGGTCAGGCCTGAGAGGGCTGGGACCCCTGTCCTCAGCCTCCAGTCTCTCTTGACGCTTGGGTCCCTGAAGGCCACGGCTCTGGGTACTGAGTCCTTCACCCTGACCACCTCACCTGTCTCACTCAGGGTCCTGAGGCCTGGCTCTCCCCTGGGTGCCCTCTCAGTGCTGCCCCGGGGAGAGGTGGAAGAGCTGGGGGGATGAGCTCCTGCCCAGCCCATGTCTTAGTCTCCTGGCTCTGAATGGCTGCTCCCTGGGGGATTTGGTAGGGGATGAGGACCTGGGAAACCTGAGCTGGGGACAGGACCATGTGGGGACTTCCTCTCCATCATTCTTCCCACCTGTGACGTCTCCTGGCTGGACCTCCTCCCTTTCTCCTGAAGCCCTACGCACTGTCCCGCTCTCTTCCTTTTACAGATGCAGCACTGCTCTTTTGTGGCCTACTCCATGCCCTGGGAAAATTACATGGCCCTGACGAGTTCCAGCTGTCGCAGTGCCTGAGGCTCTGTTTTGGCCGGGCCACAATGACCACGCCTTACCCATATCCCATGCAGTGTCCCTTGCAATGGAGCCTGGCCCTGGGGGGAGGCTTCTTGGTGCCCCAGCACCAGGGTCCAGAGCAGCAGACTTCTGTGGACAGTAGCTCCCATGTGCTGTCCCCTCTTCCTTTCTCCTGTGCTTCTCAACCACACTTGTGTGGGGCGAACGTGGCTGTCCTTGCCTTGCTCAATAAAAACCTGCACCATCTCCCTCTGTGTGGTACGGTTTTGGGGTGGAGGGGAAGGGTTGTGGGAGCTGTTCCCACAGGTCTGTGCAGCCTGACTGTCACACGGGTCCTCCTCGGCACCGTCACACACCCCTGAGGTAGGGCTGAGTCATGGTCATTGAAGCCCTGCACTTTATCACCATCACTCTTCTCCTGTGGGGTCTGCTCTCCTGCACACTCACTCCACCTGTCCTCCGGGACCTGGCTCTGCCCTGGGGACTGGCCTTGGAGAAGGTGACCTGGTCAGCCAGTCAGGGTGCCCACTCCACCCCAGCCTCACTGACCACATGAACAGAGCCCATGGCCCTGGTCTTGCCTCAAGGATCCTGTGGCTCATGGTGGGGATTTATTTAACTGCAGGCTGAGAGTCCCTTAGGCAAAGTGCTTGGGACCAGAGTGCTTCAGGGCTGAAAGATCTGTAGGATTGTGGGAAATCTTCACAAGTCTGGTAAGATTTCCTGGGGTTGGGATCCACATTTGAGCCTCTTGTACACGCAGGCTGAAGCTAATCAGTACAGAATTATTTATTACAGGAAGAAAGATTTAATTGGAAGTTCAGAGCAAGAACAGGAAAGGATCCAGCTTATATATGGCTGGAGGAATCAGTCTCATAAGACTGGCCCATGGCAGAGACTGGAGGCCAGCATTCAAGGATTATTTGGTGGGCTGTGGTCTGGGTGATCAATGTCTCATCATCTCAGTCTTAGTTTTGGGATCTTGATTGGTGAAGAAGAGAGCTCTGAATCTGTGGGGGTCGTCTGCAGGGCCACCTCCCCCTCCTCACCTTCCCTGAAGAGAAAATGCATGGCCGCTTCTTGGGGATCAACAGGATGAGGGCATGAGGACCTGGGATCCCTGAGCTGGGAGACAGTGTCATTCGGGGACTTCCTTTCCATCACTTCTCCTCCCTCTGTCCTCTCATAGCCAGGTGTCTTCCCTTTCTCCTGAAACTACACTCACTGTCCCTCTCTCTTCCTTTTGCAGATGCAGTTCTGCTTCTTAGAGATCTACAGCTTGCCCTGGGGGAATACACCTATCTGACTGGTTCCAGCAGTCTCAGTGTCTGAGGTTGTGCTTCAGGCCAGGCAGTGTTCACAGTCCCTTACCCCACCTCTTCCTTGCAATGTCCCCACACCTATCACAGGTTCCAGCCCTGGCATAGTTGGCTTGGTGCCACAGCACCCAGGGACCAAGACAGCAGGCTCCCCTGGGCAGCTTGGACACCCATGTTCTCTCTCTGATTCCTTTCTCCTTGCTCTTAACCACACCTGTGTGTGGCCCCCATGGCCAGCCCTGCCTTGCTCAGTAAAAACCTGCACCAGCTCTTTCTGGGTCCTGTCACCTGGGAAGCAAGGGAAAGGTTGGGAGCAGATGGGAGCTGGACCCACTCAGCCACACATGTAGGTCAGGGCCAGGGCAACCTCTTCAGAACCCCTGGATCTTGGAGAGATGAAGAGCAGATGGCTGGGGACCCACACACCCAGCACTGTGGCTCCTGGATGCAAACAGGACAGAAGAGGCCCAGGCTGCTGGCCTTGGAACAGAATCAGGCTGTGCACAGGGGTGGACACTGGGCATGGCTTAGTGGGCTCACCAGTGGGTGCAGAGGTGTTGCCTGCAGGGCCACCTCCCCCTGCTTACCTTCCCTGAAGACAAAATGAACAGAGGTTCCCATCCACTTCTATCCGGCAGGAACCAGTCCCCACCATGAGACAGACAGAAAGAGCATCTGTGTGTGGAGCTGGTGGAGAAAGCACCAGCCAGAATGCAGACAGAGACCCTGGGTCACAGGGCAGGCAGCACCTCTACACCTGGGCAGGTGCATCCAGGCTCCCACCCACGGGCACCTGGCACTGTCTCTGTGTGTGAAGGTCAACCACCACCACCCAGGGGCACAGAGTTTAGAACAGAAATTGGCTGCCCTGCACTGGGCTTGCTTCTCATTACAGGAGGAGGTTGAGTTAGTAAGGTCTCTTGATGGGACCATGGCTGCACAGAACTGGGACACTGAGTCCTAAGCTCTGTGCTCTGTGACCCTTTTCTCCCCACCCTTCCCAATGCTCAGGGCAGAGGAGAGAAACATACTGGCTGCTCACATCCAGGTCTCAATGCCATCCACAGTTGGAGCACTGGGAAGCGCTGATGGTCACTGCCAGGGATGAGGAAGATCAGTGACAAAGGCCAGTGCTCTACAGGCTTCGGGGTGCAAAGGAAGAGCCCGCAGGGAGGTGGAGCCCCTCCAAGGCTCCCACATCGTCTCTTCCCTGCCTTCAGCCTTCTCAGCCTGGAGTTAGCAACACCAGTCCCTGGCAAGCGAAAGAATAGCACTCAGTGTCTCAACTCTCAGGTTGAGCCCTGAGAGCATTTAGACCACTCTCCAAGGATGGGACTCCACATCCAGGTGGTTTACACATGGCCCTGAAGTTCTCCAGTCCTCTCTGCATTGGGATGAGGCCGTGTACCTTCCTCCTGACTTAGGGGGTCTGTGATGAGGTAACCACAGGTTGCCATGGAGGCCACAAGAAATGGCTCATCTCCTGGGTACTTATCACACATGCGTACGAGGACACCAAGAACGGACCCATTATGAAGCACGTGGACTCGGGTCAGAGGGCACTTCAAACCCAGGCTCTCCTGGATGTCCCCCTGAAACTAGGGTGCAAGAATGGCCCAGGATGGGCTGCGTCCTGCACTGACCACCCTGACCAGCAGGGGGCAACACATACCCGCTCAAGAGCTGCAGGTCTGGGCTCTAGTGCAGCCCCCTGTGCGGGTGGACTGGCTCCTGGAGGGATCAGCTCTGCGTGCAGGAGGAGCTGTGCACCTTGATCACGCTGGGCTTCATACCTGCTGCTGGAAACCCCTCTGCTTGGCCCTGTCCTGCAGCTCTGGGGCCCAGGAAACACCCAGCATCACTGAGAGAACCAAACACCAGCAGAGGGCAGCAGCCTCCTGTACTACAGCTCCTCCCCTGCTCTTCCAAGACAGGGATGCTGGGAGCTGCACCTGCCAGGAGGAACAGCGGGGCCTGGAGGGGACCCACGGGGAAGACAGGGACCTTCTCGAAGCAGGTGACAGTGGATATGCTCTGCCTCACAGGTGCACGTGCTGGAAGTCTGGTCCTGTGTGACAGTGCTGAGAGGTGGTGATCCTGAAGAGGAGGGCCCCAGTGGATCTCAGGACCTGGGCAGCACCAGGAAGGATCAGTGCTAGGTGGTGAGTGGGTGCGGCCAAGTGGAGTGAGTTTGTCCCTGCAGGGTCTGTGTCCCCACAAAGCCAGGCCACCCCTTGCCCGGCCCCTTCTGCAGGCATGCATTTCCTTTTTGAGTCTCTGCTTTGTTGTATTGTGGCCAAGAGGGTCTTGCCAGGACACTGGAGTCATGATATTGGGACTGTCCAGCCACTAGATAAACGTTTTTTCTCTGTACAGTACTCAGAAGCAGGTGTTTTTTTATAGCAACTCAAAATAACCAAGACAGAATGAAAGGAAACATGGATGGATAGATAGATAGATCGATAATAGATAGATGTTGATAAATGATGCCAGGTGCTGTCCTAAACACTTCCCAAGTACTATCTCTTTTAACTTTCCAACAAGGCCGTAACCAATGGAGTATTAGCAGGTGTGATGTAACCAGGACTTGAAAAGCGTTGGTGAGCTAGGAGGTATGGCTCACTGGAAAAGTATGTGCTTAGCATTCTTGAAGCCTTTGCTCAAATCCCAGCACCAAACCCCAAAAGTCAATGCAATCTAGCTGGCCCTTCTGCTTTTGCCATGAGAGGACATGGAGAATCTAGGCCACCAGATCCCTGTAGGACAAAGTACAGGTGGAGTAGAGCTGGACCAGGATCTCACCCTTGACCTGAAGGTGTGAGCACTGTACACATGAGAGTTGTGAGCCATGAGCTGCAGTAGCAACTCACTGGTGCAGGATGTCATGGCTACTCCTGTTTGGCTCATGGGAAGCTGATATTGTGATATTGAATCAGTGTCTAGTAGCCACACCTATGTCTGTGATGGGAACTATAGGTCATGGCAGTGTCATTCACTAAGATGGGGACATTGGCTGAGGGGCAGGTCTGTGAGTAAAGGAGGAAATAGTTTCTTCACTTATTCTTGACACTTGTTTTCTTAATACCTTGGAATAAATGACAAGGCCCGTGTTCCTCTTACTTTTGGCTGTGCCTGGTGATTGAAGACATGGGGAGGCTTGTTTCTATGGTGAGCACTGCCTCTGCCCCTCCATGGGTATGGGGGATGCGGTGTGCCACATCCTCAGCCCATGATGTTTACAGTGGTGTCCAGGACCAAGCTGCCAAGAAGGGAGCTGATGACTTGCTGACCAGAGTTCCTGGGAGACATCGCAAGGGGAAAGGCTAGTGGGGAGGGATGCAGCTCAGCAACAGGGTCAGGTGAGTCTTTGAGCTCAGGGGCTCAGTGTTCCACGAGTCCAGGCAGCCGGCCAGGCCTAGGGCCACCTAGGAGACAGAGCCCCTCTCCCAGGCTCCCGCCAAAGGAGCCCTGAGGCCATGCCTCAGAGATTCAGGTGGCACTGGGAACAGGGATGGCTGCCCAGGAAGGCTCTGTGAGGTGCAGTCGCTGTCTCCCCTCTTGGAGGTGCCCTTGGATACAGGGTGGAGCTGGCTGTAGCCAGGAAGCTGAGGGGGGAGCCCAAGTGTCCAAGCTTCAGTGCTGCCACAGAGACCCAGGAAAGGCCAAAGAGAAATTGATGTGAATGTGGCACTGAGCTACATCTTGAAGAAAATGAAATTGACAGCTGTATCAGTGGTGGCCTGCATGTCACCTGCCTGCACTGTCATAGACGCAGGGTCAAAGGTGCAGAACACCTTGGCCTTTCTCGACAGGCTCTTCACTTTGTCACCTTGGCTCCAGAGATGACTGTTGCAAAATCCCCTGTTCCCACACACCAAGCACAAGCTGAGTCAGAATCTGCAGTGCAGAAGGAGCTGCA